TTCGGTTGACAGCTGATCAAACATCGCTAGCGCGCGACTAATGAGCACTAATCAAAATAGACAAATAGACAAAAAGGTACAATAGTTGTGAACATAAATACATAAATACATGGGCCATTCTTTTTTAAGTCGGACGGATTTCGTAAAAAAAATAAATCATGTCTCCGATTCGCTTCAAATTTTGTTTTGTGGGTTCTATAAATGAAATAAGCTAACATATGTTCCAGGATTTTTTTTTCTTTTTTTTTCTTCGGAGATATGGTCGGTCAAAGTTTGCATTTTTTCGTGGTCCTGACTAATCATGTACTTCTTCAAAACGTTATACCTCGTGTCCTGCTCATCGTAGACATTTCATCTTAACGTCGTTTAAAAGCTCTGTATAATAAATGGTCAAGATTGTCCTAAAGCTAACTTAGCTATTAACAGTTGAACTTTTTGAAGTTGGTTTGCATAGTGAAGACCAGTGAATTGGGTGTTTAAAATTATTCCATCGTAACCCCTTTTTAATCTACTATATATTTGTGAAAATATGTATGTATGTATTTATGTATGTATGTATGTGCCAGGTTGCAGTCTAAACGGACGGACAGAATCGAACTGGGCCTATAATAGGGTGAAAAAAATTGGGATCCGACAAGGGAGCGTGGCACCTCCCATAGGCGTGAAATTTTTAATCAACCATAACTTCCAGACCATAAGTCACATGAACTTGAAACTTGGTAAGCAGACATGTCAACAGTAGATGCTTATAGGCGGGTATATATAATCGAGTTTGTAAAAGGGGGCGTGTCACATCCCATAGGCGTGGAATTTTTTATCAGGTATAATCTCGGAACCATAAGTCGCACGAGCTTGAAATTCGTATTCAGGTATAGCTATGGTAGGTGTTTATAAAAAGGCGTAGAAATTTTTATCACGTATAACTTTAAAACCATAAGTCACATGAAATTTAAATTTGGTATGCAGACATATCAATGGTAGGTGCTTATACGAGGGTATATATAAACGAGTTTGTAAAAGGGGGCGTGGCACATCCCATAGGCGTTGAATTTTTTACCAGCTATAACTTCGGAACCATAAGTCGCACGAACTTGAAATTTGGTGTGCAGACATATCAGTAGTAAGTGCTTATACGAGGGTATATATATATTGTCACCTTACCTTTTGTTTACAAAAGCCGCCCTACCTAATGTTTCAAATAGATGCACTTATCGTGCGCAACAACAATGCGCCGGGCCAAACGAGGTAAACAAATATACGCACAAAAGGGAGATGACAAAAAAAACCAAGCAACCGGCTGGCTCACTGGAGACGGCGGGGTTGCTGGCAAGGGGAACAACAAGACAGTATACAGACTAATCAAACTAAATAAAATTCACTAGTTATTACACACAATAAATATGAAGCTACCAACACTAGGGTGGGTCGAAAACAAGACAACAAGATTTACGACCAAGGAATCGAAACAAAACAAAACCTTGTTTTTGGGGCGCACCCGAGGTGAGTCCCACCAAAAGGTTACGAACCCACTCGCACTACCGCCCGTGCTGCCGGGGATATCTTTAACCCGCCTGTATGACTAGGCTCAGGGTGCAGGATGCTAAACAGGATCGGAAAGGGAAACACAATAAGAGGAAGCCTACCGACAACAATAACGCCTGAACACAGACACAACAAAAGAAGACGATACTTATCGGCGGTCGGTGGGCGTTCCGACCGCAAGGGTGCTCCTCGGGAATTTGGCTCCCAAATCCGGTGCCGACTTCACCACGCCTCGACTGGCGCTGCTCCTCGAAATTAATTGCTACTGCTACTGCAACCTAAGTGCCTCGCCTGGCACTTCACGAATTTTTATTAAAGATAAAGCACTTCTCACTACAAAAATTTATCTAATTTTACTGGGCTACTATATATAAAAACACTCGCGCTCGCAATAAGGATGTTGCCTTTCTCAAAGCTCGCTTAGAACTGCCCCGGCACGCAGTCGCGAGGCAGGCCGCAACCTACGCACCGGTACGCAAACCGTTGGAGTGTCAGCGCCGGTGTTGTTGGTGCCCGATCAATTGGCGCCGGCCCGCGCATTCTAGAAGCGAATTAGGCGCTTTAGCGGTCGCCACCACGGCGCACACAAACAACACCGTGAACTTGCTATTGCCATCATACGGCGGACAACAAAAGTGCCGCAATAGGTGAGAGCAAAGGCGACATCCCTACTACGGTCTTTCGCGTCATCTCTCATTCCTACATTCTTATCCTCGATCGACACCGTTTTGGGGCGGAGTGCCCTAATGGAGACTTTTCCCCTTTGCGGTGGCGCTCCACCGACAAACAACTATTTCGCTCAACTTGAGCTTATTCTGCTATTTATTTAGGTAAGTACATACATATATACACTTGGGTGTCGGCAGCCTTCACTCCTATCGGCCGGAGTGAAAGGAAATAGGTAAATAGAACGAAGGGGAAACAAATGTTTATTTTGTTGCGGCCAGTACGCGACAGTATAAACAAGTTTGTTAAAGGGGGGCGTGGCACATTCCATAGGCGTGGAATTTTTTATCAGCCACAACTTCGCACCATAAGTCCCACGAACTTGAAATTTGGTATGCAGACATTTCAATGGTAGGTGCTTATAGGAAGGTATGTATAAACGAGTTTGTAAAAGGGGGCGTGGGACATCCCATAAACGTGAAATTTTTCATCAGCTATAACTTAGGAACCACAAGTCACACGAACTTGAAATTTGGTATGCAGACATATCAATGGTAGGTGCGTATACGAGGGTATATATAAGCGAGTTTGTAAAAAGGGGGCGTGGCACATCCCATAGGCGTGGGTTGGTTTATCAGCTATAACTTCGGAACCCTAAGTCACACGAACTTGAAATTTGGTGGGAACAAAAATGGAAAAAAAATCAAAAAACAACGACAACAACAACAACAGCAAACTATAAAGGGACCGGTCCCCTTAAGGCGTCGGAAGGGTCTCGGCCCACTAAAGAAGGGGCTCAAGCGATACAGAGTACCTCCACCAGCCGTAGTTCGGTGACAAACAGCGGGAAACCAAGCCAATGGTGAAACCGGGCGAAGCTCCTGCAAAAAAGAAGGAAAGCGGCGGTGGGATGCTCAATGGAGTCCACCCCGGGAAACTCCTGGCACCAATGGATGCCAACCTGGCATGCAGATTGCAGCCGGGGATAAGGCTGAATCTGTGGCATAGGCCCCGGGCGGTCCTCCCGCGAAACCCAAGGCCTTTACGAGGCCTGACCAGAGGCCAGAACCAGCTACAGCGGGCTATCGACAGAAGAAGATGTCTGCACGAATTCTGCAAAGGTTCACCACTACGCCTGACCTGTGTAGCAAGGCGAAGGCAGAGCATGTGAAGGAGGTCCTCACAGAAATCGACTGGGCGAAGGCAGTCCTGCCCGATTACCGTAAGCCGGAGGAGAGACCTCCGCAGGCGCCCTCCAGTAAGCGCAATAGATCGGGGGGAAATACGCCCAACAATGCAAAGAGGGTCAGAACGCAGGGGCCTTCTTTTGCTGAAGTATCCAAGGAGCAGATCCTGCTTGGCGTCATTGACGAGAGCGATGAAGACAGCCTAGCCCTGGGGCAGCAATGGAAGAGGGTTAAGGCCGCGATGGCCAACATTGCTATCACCATCATGTTGGAGAATCCGGGACCTCCGCCAACCTGCAAGGGAGCGGGGTGGTTTCAAATTAGCATCCGGGTTATAGCATGCGAGGATGCTAGATCGGCGGATATTTATATGAAGACAGTCGAAGGCATTGGAGAAGTCTACCCTGGTGCGAAGCTCAGGGCAGTCGACTTCAAGGACCTACCGGTGCGACCGAGAGCCAGAGCATGGTGGCCTTGAAAGCCAGCGGAACCCGAAAGGATCCTGCA